TTTAAAAATGTTGAACGGATTTACACTAAAAACGGCATCACAACGCCTACGCCACTGTCGCCAGCACTACACCTTGATGCTTAACACATTCAGCTTCTTTAAATCGACGGCCCGAATTTTTCAAATAATACCTGACAAGCCACTTACACCTCTTGATCCGAGAAGGAAGTTAATGCGTATCGTATCCAGCTCCTCATATTCCAATCCAAGAGGTCGTGCTTCATCTAAATATGTGTGTTCTACTGGCCCACTACAATTATTTTACTATGAACGTTTAAAATTTAACGTGAAAGATCAAATCCGAAGTAAGTGACTACAGTTTCCCGTTCACAGTAGCAGGTTCAAGAACCCACCAGAATCGGTTGGAATATAGACGCCATGTACAAAGATGAACGATAAAGTGTTTGTGTCATCCTCGCAAAAATGATCCAGTTTTTCCATTTTATCTTCTTTAACATCGAAACATATGCGTACCCTACCGAAGTATGAAAGTAATTCCAATTCAAATTTTATTTCTCAGCCTCTTTCTACTACTTCAAATAAAAAAAAACGATACCATTGACAGACTGGGCCAAGTTCAAGCAGGATTGACTGGAGAAGGCTACTGCTGCCAGTTGTTCGACGGCACTCTTCCCGAGTCTGAAGTGAATTCTATTACTTCCTACTCTGTAACCTTTTCTTAAGAGAGAAAAAATACAAAAAATTGCAGACGTTTATTGTTTTTTTTTGGGTAGGTGCATTAAGGGGTTTAATTTGCAAAACGCTTCATGCCCCCCCCCCCCCCCCCCCCCCCCCCCCCCCCCCCTCCTCGCCCCTTCCACCCCTAACATTCATCGCCTAATGGCGGTGGTGTCCATATCTTATTATTTGAATTCTGACCTCTGCTTCTACAATGGCGGTCTCAGTTGGCCGTTTTCGATAATTTCGTCGGCTTTTCCTTCGAATTCGGAACCAAGCAGTACCTACGCTTTCATATGTGGACATTACAACCAAATTCCGCTATGGCGTAGCGTGCCTTCAAACCAAAATGCTCAAAATCTTATTAGAGCCCTAACACCACAGCGTTATAAACTGGTGAACTCGGGATGAAAATGTTTGTTCTTTTTCTGATACAAATTCCAAAAAATAGGCATTTTGACGGTTTGGTCACTCACATCTTTCAGCAAGGTGTATCTATGGTAAGTGATATGATCCTTGTGTTTCCTGAAGGAAATCAGTCTTTACAAAGTCAGTGCAACTATTCCCGTATGGGATTTGCCCACTTTGACTCGTTGATGCCCAAATGTTCGGAGGCTAAGACAGTCTTGAAACGAGACAATACATAACCTAATCCCACATCTTTTAAGTAATGTTGAGTAGTAAGCTTCAGCATCTGTGCTTGATCATTAGAGACAGAGGGGGCTGAGTTGTCGTCGTGGAAAAACTACTGCTTACTATTACTTGCCCTAATCTTTCGCGTCGATTTTCTATATAATGCTGACAAAAGTTTTTATTGAATCCTTCGTTGATGACGTTAAGTCGTCGTGACAGGTGCATCTGGCCAAACCCTGTTCCCCTGAATTTGGGAGCGCTCTCACAAACTGCTATTCCCCAAACTTTTGCTATCGCTTTTTAGCCTTATTTTACTCCACCACTTTTGTTTCCAAACTTTTGTCAACACGTCTCCCTCATTGCATAGCTAGAAGACGAATTTTATTCTATACTCGTCCATAGAAACTATATATAGAAAACATTGTGATCATAGACTAACTTATAAATGAAGGACAACGTACCAGTCCCTAAGGAAACCTTCGAACTCCCATGGCAATGGACAACAATCTTCAGTGGCAAGAATCAATTTCGTTCTTTTATCTGGATCATCAAATGATCTCGTTCGATGCTTGCTCCATACTCTAGCTCTCCGTTGTGATCCTGCCTTTGTGCCGGTCAGAAAATACGGCGAAGGTTTCGCATTCACCTCTCTGCCAGTTTTAAGAACTTTACTCATCGCGTCAGCGGGCCTAAAGACTCATCAGTCGCAAAAGATCACAATCCATCTATTAACCGAATTCACTAGGAGTGACTGATTTCAAATGAAGTAGATTGCTTTTAAGAGCCGAGACCATTTCACAGCTTTGTTTACCAAACTGTCTGACATTGCTTTGATTATGTTTGTGAATGTGCGAAGATGGTTTCTTTGGGCAGCGCAATGTTACATTGGGAGTTGGAGTCAAAAGTTCTTGGAAGCGGTGGTTTCTTGAAATGATAATTAAGCACGAGATAACAGAACGGACATTCCAGCCACCCTTGTTTGAAATTCAGAAGCCTTCTCAAAG